CAAACCTCCAGTTAATCCGTTTATATTCAAAATTTAATCACTTTGCTTCGTTCCACTCCCCTAAAAGCATACGAAATTTTATTATATTAAGTTCGTTGGCTTTTAAGATATCTTGGTAAAATGGCAGTACAGCTAAACACGTGGAGCGACCCAAGCTGAAGTTGCCGCCGTCAAAGCTTGCTCTAACCTGCTCCTGACAGCTCAATCAAGTCTCTTTCTGAAATTTGTTTTCGTGATATCTGCGAGTTTTGTATATATCTTTTCTTCGGGAAGACATCAGACTTTATACAAGACGCTATATACTTATGAGACTGGACACTGTTTTCTTGTATAACGTTTGGGGTTTTGGCGTTTATAACAGTCTTAGATCACTTTCACGATTTTACTTCCAAGCGGGTAATTACTAAACGCTCTCTCTCTCTCTCTCTCTCTCTCTCTCTCTCTCTCTCTCTCTCTCTCTCTCTGTCTCTGTCTCTGTCTCTGTCTCTGTCTCTGTCTCTGTCTCTCTGTCTCTCTCTCTCTCTCTCTCTCTCTCTCTCTCTCTCTCTCTGCAGACGAGGAGTCACAATAACGTGGCTGAAGTATGTTGACCAGACCACACACTAGAAAGTGAAGGGACGACGACGTTTCGGTCCGTCCTGGACCATTCTCAAGTCAATTGTGAACGGATTTATGGATAAATAGATGATAAATAAATGAGTAGATGGATAGATAGATGGATGGCTGGACGGGTAGATAGATAGATAGATAGATAAATTAATAGATGGATGGATATAGAGATGGAAGGATGGATAGATGAATAGATGGATGGATAGAGAGATGGAAGGATGGATAGATGAATAGATGGATGGATAGAGATGGATGGATGGATAAATGAATATAAAGTTAGATAGGCAAATAGATGAATATATGAGTAGATGAAGATATACAACCACATACATCCATCCACATATTTATACATCCACATACATGGATGTATAAATTGATGGGTAAATAGATGGATAGATAAATGGATGGATATGTTGATATATGAATATACAGATGCATGGATAGAGTGATTGATAGATGGATAGAGGGACAGACATATGGAGAGATAAATGCATGGATGGATAGATGAATGGAGAGATACTAGAGAGATACTAGAGATAAACATGCCAGCATACAACCAATGCTTCTCCAGACTACACAGTCCTTGATGATAACAGCAATAACATTACTCCCACCCTTGGCCTGTAATGTATATATAACAAATAAATTGTTATGATGCTTCAAATTTGTTCATTTGATGCATCACGCTATTATGGTTTCTATGTGTAATATAGAGAGTTCTCGGCGCCAGCAGCATATGGTATGTATACTAGCAGCATATGGTATGTATACTAGCAGCATATGGTATGTATACTAGCAGCATATGGTATGTATATACACCAGCGGGTTTTCTTAATTAACCAGGCCCTTCCCACCAACTTCTTCCAAACCACATAAACTTAAGATAATTTATACAATATATATGAATGAAGTAGAAATGAATGAATGAATGAATGAATGAAGGGTATAGTTCCCACTACATTTTGGACTAGGTCATTCCGTCTCTCCTCCCTAACGTTGTCATGGATGAAGGAAATATATTTTGCTACTTTTTTTACCGTAATATCACGTCAGATTTCTTTAATATTACATAAAATCTCAAAAATAAGACCTAAATTTAATGTGGAGTTTAAAGCTACAAAAGTTTTATCTCCGCCACTAAAATTATATATATCTCCACTATACAAACTTGGTCTCCACGCCTCAAATTCTGTCTGAATGGTATAACTGCTGTCTAAGCTGAAGAATTTCTGTCCCTCACTGTAAAACTTCTCTGCATAATCTTGTCTCCATAACACGCGTCCTGTCTCACTTGCACAAATTATGTGTCCACTGCACAAGTCCTCACTACACATGTTCTCTCCCTACAAGCCACGACTCCTCTGGGCGGTTACAGTCACCTAGGAACAAATTCTCTCCTCACTGTACATATCTTATCTCCACTGCTTTACGAGTCATTTTCACTACTCTAATAGTCGTTTACACTGCTAAACAAGTCGCCTCCACTTCTCTAAGACTCGTCTCTATTGCTTTACAAGTGCTGTCTTCACTGCATAAGTTGTATCTGCACTGTACTAGTGCTGTCTTCACTGCATAAGTTGTATCTGCACGGTACTAGCCCTGTCTTCACTGCATAAGTTGTATCTGCACTGTACTAGCCCTGTCTTCACTGCATAAGTTGTATCTACTCTGTACTAGTCCTGTCTTCATTGTATCTACACTGGACAAATCCCATATTCACTGCACAAGTTCTGTCTTCATGCAAAAGTCTTGTCTCCACTACACAAGTCCTGCTTCCACTGCACGAGTCTTCTCTCCACTGCAGAAGGCGTTTTTCTCCGTGGCACAAGCCCTGTCCCCACTGAACATGCTTGCAAGCCCTAGATTTTAAGATGGATTTTATAATATACATGATAAAACCAACAACTACATACTCTCTCTTTTTATTCCCAATTTTTCATATCGCGGGCGGGACAGAAATGGTTGGGCGCGTTTCCTATTACCTAATGCCTCTGTCCACCTAGCAGCAAATAGGTAATCAGGAGTTAGCGTGTTATGGGGTTGCTTCCTGGGGAGGGAGGTAATTCGACCCTAGGGGGTGGGGAGGGGGGAGGAGTGCCCTCAATGTAAGCCTAACATGTACTGTATGTATAAACTCGCTGCCTGTCCCTCGACACAATGAATCATGATCATTATTATTATACACTTGGGATATAAATACCGGGAATTAGCAAGGCTTCTACATTGCATCATTTATCTAATTAAACATCCTTGAATTTGTCAATTACATAACAATGGTTGGTTTTCCTGGTGTCATTAGCCTAGTGAGACACATCAACATGCAATTATTTACTGTTTCAGCGAACGCATTAAGTTTTGTAAATAAAACGTATAAATGGAATCGACATGAGAATGGTCCAGGACGGACGGAAACGTCGTCGTCCCTTCACTTTCTAGTGTGTCGTCTGGTCATCAATATAAATGTCATTAGTATATATAAATTACGTACAGCATTCAGGATTTCATAAGTGAACTAATTTAATTAATACACGGCAACACGGGTTATTAACCTAATAATACACGAAACACAGGCTATTAACTTAATCGCACACAACAGTCTATTAATCGTACACAACAGTCTATTAATCGAACACAACACTTGTTATTAACCGTATAAAACAGTCTATTAATCGTACACAATACTGGCTATTAATCGTACGCAACACTGGTGATTAATCGTACACAATACTGACTATTAATCGTAAGCAACACAGGCTAATAATTGTGCACAACACAGACTAATAATCGTGCACAACACAGGCTAACAACCGTGCACAACACAGGCTAATAACCGTGCACAACACAGGCTAATAACAGTGCACAACACAGGCTAATAATCGTGCACAACACAGGCTAATAACAGTGCACAACACAGGCTAATAATCGTGCACAACACAGGCTAATAACCGTGCACAACACAGGCTAATAACAGTGCACAACACAGGCTAATAATCGTGCACAACACAGACTAATAATCGTGCACAACACAGGCTAATAATCGTGCACAACACAGGCTAATAACCGTGCACAACACAGGCTAATAATCGTGCACAACACAGGCTAATAACCGTGCACAACACAGGCTAATAACCGTGCACAACACAGGCTAATAATTATGCACAACACTGGCTAATAACCGTGCACAACGCGGGCTAATAATCGTGCACAACACAGGCTAATAACCGTGCACAACACAGGCTAATAACCGTGCACAACACAGGCTATTAATTAACGTAATCCTACACAACACAGATTATTAACTTTCTAACTTGGTGACAGTCCATTTTACGTGCATAAGGAAGTCCATATCGTCGAACTGTGCATACATATTGTTATCACAGCGAGCCCAAACGTTGTGGCTTGATGCAGTAGGCCTAAAAGTAGGCACTATAGGCGTTATGGGCAAGTATTACCACTGACCAACAGCAGGTTTAGTGAGCGCATTAAGAAGTCGTACACAAAAGTGATCTTTTCCAGCAGTAAGCGTGTCTTGGAGAGTATAAGCGTTGTACACACGACGACTTGTCGCGCTCGTAGCTTCATTCATGGTAACTTGTACACCACGGCCGACTTACACGTCGCCCCCCCCCTATCCATCCATCCATCCCCCCCGCACACAGATCAATTGATGCTGGAGTCTCATCTCGTGGTTTATGTATTGATTCCCTCGCTCTACAGCCTCCACTTACCATCGGCCAAGTTCCGGAAGCGAGTTGTTAATAGTGCTAAGACAGCATCCACCGGCGTTGTCACTATCCTCATGGTTATATTCTATCGTGATCCTCCTACCAACACCTCTCTCTGCCATTTTTAAAGCTCGTCTGCCCCAACTTCGCGCAGATTTGGGAGTTTTGATTGGCGCAGTCGGTCACGTGACGCGTCCCGAGCGGGAAACTGGTGGCGGCGCGCCGGCCGACCACATCTCCTACACCACTCTTTCGCACACACATGCTTTACTCCATATATACTCATTATAACAATCTCTACATTTTGTTACTTGTGGCTCGTTTGTACACTATAATTTACATGTTATACTTCATACATTATTTTCGTGATATGGGTGAAGTTGGGGTTTAATATTGTTAAGTAAATTGTATGGTGTACGAGTCGACCCGTGAGTTCGTACCATGTCAACACGACCACAGGCGCGCTGCCGCTCACACACACCAATATTCTTCACAATAAATTACTCCGCACATTTCCCAGCTAATTAACTAACAAATGCACCAACATATATCTCTGTTTTATTTCAAATTACTCACTTTTGCTTTCGAAAGTTATTTTTTTTGGAATGTTATTCGTTGGATTTTTTAAGGGTCAACAAGAGGAATATTACTGGAATATTTACAGTCAGCTGAGAAGTAAAAACAAACCCGGGCCCGCAAGCCTCACTGTCATTTGAGTGTGACTTAAAGAGTGTCTCTTGCACCCGTCCCAGTGTATAATCAGTCATGGTGGAGCCAATATTTGACTATCAGTTCAGATTAATACTTATAGGAGACTCGACAGTTGGCAAGAGTTCCCTTTTGAAGTATTTTACTGACGGAAAGTTCTTCGAGGTAAGTCAGTAGAGTTGCGTAGGGACGAGGGAGGCACTTTAGTCCAGGTGTGAGTCACTTGTTATTGTTTGTTTGGACTTTTGTCCAGGTGTGTGTTACTGACACAGGGAAGTGGGGGATATTGTCCAGGTGTGAGTTACTGCTTCTGGGATGTCTGAATTTTGTCCGTGCAGTCATCAGGGAGGATAAACTCTTCGTGCAAACTGCTCTACCTGTACCATCAAGAAGAAGAAGAAGATGAATTTTGTCCAGGTGTGAGTCATTTGTTAGGATTTGTTGTAAATTTGTCCAAGTGGACAAATTAACTAAAATCAGCATATGATGTTACAGATAACTACATTACCCTGGGGATCAATATATGATAACTACATTACCCTGGGGATCAACATATGATGATAACTACACTACCCTAGGGATCAATCAACTTGTAATGATAAAAACATTACCCTGGGATCAATCAACATGTGATGATAACTACATTACTCTGGGGGATCAACATGTAATGATAACCACACTTTATGGGTTAAAAATAAAAACACAGAACAGATGGTTGTGCATCAAATTAGATGGAAATTGGGTTGTGTGGATTCAAACAATGTAAACTTCTAAATAGAAATGTCACATTGGATAACCATTTCAGGTGGAGTGCCACAGGCATCAGTCTTAGAAACCGTTTTTTTTTTTTGTTTTTTTACTTATATGAATGACATTGACACTCACTCATGATGTGCAATATCTAAATATGACAATGCCTGAAATGCTGTGTGTGTGTTAACAGCTTTACAAGAATGCATGCAAGAACATTACAAGGAAGCAGAGTTATAATGCCAGTTGACGGGCAAGATTATAAGCCATCTAAAACACATTAGTGATTTGGTTAAAAGAATGGCAGATAAAATTTTTAGTGCTAGTAAATGTAAAGTCCTGTGCATACAAAGGTCTAAAATCCAAGAGGTGTCTTAACTCTTTATGATACCCAGCCAGATACACATTGAGGGATCATTAGAGTATTGATGATAAAACTGATTCCTGGGGACCATTTAAGCTAAACATTTATTATATGTGATTACATTATAGTGCTTGAGTAATTTGTGATTCAGAGTCAGGACACTGTAGGCCATGTTGTCAGGTTGTTGGCAGAGTTCCTTATTAAATGCACGATGTTGAGTGGCTGAAATAAGGCTGGTGAGAGAAGTGACTCCTAGCTGTGTTGAGTTCTGGCTGACTTATCTGTGATTGATTGATAAATATTAAGCCAGCCAAGAGGTGGCACTGGCATGAATAGCCCATAAAAATCTGTGTGTTTGGCTGTCTTATATATCTTGCTACAGCTGTAGTCCAGACTGACTGCCAGCTGAATGGGAAGAAGCTGTTTCATCTGGTTATGGACTGTTGCAGATGTTACTGCTCACTTTACATGATGGCTTAGAAATTTCTGGCTCTTACTAACATTAGTCAGTAGTCATCTGCTCCTTTACCCCTCATTGCCTTCCCCTCTCTGCACAAAAGTCTTGAAGTATTGGCTAAAATTTGATCAATACCAATACTACAAAATTTCTGATATCACCAATTCCTACAATTTACGGAACATTCGTCCTCTAGAATTGAAATTTTCACCTAAAACATAATTAATTAACTTAAGACTTATTTTTTCTGCCTAGTTAATTTACAAAAGAATTTTTCACCAACATATCTTTATCTCTGTTTAAAAATAAATTAATGGATTACTGTCTGGGTATATTTCCTTACAGATCTCTGATCCCACTGTTGGTGTTGACTTCTTTGCACGACTTATTGAAGTGAGAGACGGCACAAGAATAAAATTGCAGTTGTGGGATACAGCAGGCCAGGAAAGGTTTAGGTAATGTTTCCTACTGATGTGTCTGGTGTAGCACCCTATATAGTACAGTACAGTTCTGTCTAAGCTCACTTATCCAGACTTGATCTTCATTGTGAATATTTATCATTAACCTCTAATGACTGGCAACTGTCTGGAGACTTGCAACCATACCCTAAGTCCTTAGTATTTATGTATGCAGGTATTTCACAAACATTCACAGGGAATGCAATAGTGGGGGATCTGAAGTAGTTTACTGATAAGCAGAAATTCACCAGAGCTTTACAGAACCCTATTGTGTACAGTTAAATAAGGAAGATATTCAGACTTTTTGTAACAAAAAATGAATGTACTAATATCTACTGATAAATAAAAATTTTGCTCAGACTTTTACTAAGGCAAGTTTTACTCACAGGTCTATCACACGTACCTACTACCGCAATTCTGTTGGAGCATTAGTGGTCTTTGATGTATGTAACAAAAAGTCTCTGGAGCATGTCCCTATGTGGATCATGGAAGCCAAACGACACATTGAACCGCACAAGTCTGTATTCATACTAGTTGGCACAAAGGTATGGAATATTGCCCCTTTCTTTAAACTGTCCTCACACTGTTTGCATAAATATTTGTGTACAAGAGATACAAGTGTACAAAACTTGATGACACAGGAAATAATTGTTTGATAAATAATCGACCAAAAGGCATGATCTTAAATAGGTTAGAGATATTTCCTGAAGTTCTTATTCACATTTGTGGTAAATTTTTACATTTTGTGCCAGGGGTTGATATGGTAGCCATGCACCTACCTGCCAGGGCCAGGCAAGTAGAACCTGCCTGGCCCTGCCTCTTTTGTTTAAAGAACCTGGACAAGTTTGAAAAAAAAACTTTCTGGAGGGAGATCCTTGTGGCTGCCTGAAGCTATCTCCCTGTGATTGCTTCATACTAAAAGGTCACATAAGTTGTAGATAGCCTTGTTTATCCTACCAGGGACCAGCACCAGAACCTGGCCCCCCTCAAAGCCACCCGGAGGCTCCCTGATACCCTCCCTCCCTCATGCCGCATGTTTTATCATTATAGAACTGGATGGTGGGGTGGGTCTGTTGACCTGGGCTGGCTCCCTCCTTCCCCAAATGAGGGGAGATGTTGGGCAAACTAATGGGTGGGGTCTAGTTTCACAAAATTTTGGTTGTTTTCATTGTTGGGGAGTCCTTCTGGCAATGTTAGGGCTTCAGTCTCTTTAAATCATGCAGTAGTTTGCTTTGATTTACCTATCTTTCTGGGTGCTTCCCTGGTGGTGGCAAAGACGATAAACTTTAAATGGAAATTTTTTTTTGATAGACCATCGTTTCCAGTTCCTTTCTAGAGGGGGGGGGGGCAGGTTCTGGCTCATGGTCTCTGGTAGGCCAATAGAACTCTGCAACTGATGACACCTAGTAGTATGACACTTAATCAATGTGATAGCTTCAGGGAGCCAACAGGGCTCACCCAGTAACTAGCGTTTCATTACATTCAACGCTAGCTTTTTTTTCCCTTTATCATCATTTAGACTTGGATGAGTTTTACATGGCAGGGCTTTTTTTCTTGATCCAAACTGCCTCATAGATTGATGGCTTGGTCTTACTTGATTGGCCATGATCAAAACATTAACTGCTTACATTTTGTTATCCATTTGTGCATGTGGAAAAATATCCATGCAATGGAAGTTTGGTATACTCTATATATTTATAATAGAGAATACTTCACCAATTTGTTAAATTTCTTGTAATTTGCACTTTAGAGAAGGTTGCACAATTTAATTAAAAATGTGTTGAGTTAAGGACCCAGGCAATTAATCACTGTACACACTACCTTGAGCTTTATTTATCAATGAATCTTTCAATTTTGATATTACAGATTGATATGGAAGATGAACGAGAGGTGAGAAAAGAGGATGCTATATCTCTAGCAAAGTTTTATAATATTAGCTATGTAGAAACAAGCTCAATGAAAGGAATTAATGTAGAAGAGGCTTTCAGAACTATCACACAAGAAGTATACGATAAGGTAAGTATTACTGTCTTATAGATTATCTTTTCTCAGAAAATGTAGAATCATTGTACTGCTGCTCCAAAGTGGTTCTAGTATATAAAGAGCTAAAATTAAACAATCATAAATTATAGACTAAGGTATGAAAAGAAATGCAAATTTTGTATGGATTTAAATGTAGAGACTACAGTAGCTGAAATGTACAGAACATATAGGTTTGCATTTAATCTAGACTACAGTACATTATACTACATATGTGGAAAATCAAGAAAAGTGCTGAAACAGGGGGAACAAAATGCTGAAAGTATGTAACAAAGTGATTCAAAATAAATATTTACCTTTTAAAATTAGAGTAGCAAACTGGAAAAGGATGCTAAGCTAATATGACTACTGTATATAGCACTTGGAAGAGATATGAGAACAAAGTGCTGGCATAGAATGGAGGAAAGGAAAGGTGCCCAGCCACTTGAACCATCAGGGATTGAATGCCATCCTGCGACGCCTCTGAGGTTTGGGTGGCGGAGCTTTGTGTGCTTCTCTGGCACAGGGAGTTTCTGTTTTTTTGGCCCTGGTGGGCGTTTTGTTTGTTTGCTGCCTTCTCCTTCTTTTCTGGCAAAGAATGAGATGACTGGCATCAGGAGGGGTCTGTTGGTTGTGGATGTTTGGTTGATTAGGCCAGGGGTGCATCATGTCTTCTGTCCGGTGGCAGCTTTACATCACTATCTGCGGGACACTATCTTCGGTGTCTGTGGACGCTCTCTGGGTGGACCCAATACATACACATGTATGTATTGAGTCTTTCACCTTCATTCAATCACTACTGCATTGTAGTAAGTTTCTCTTTGAAATGTTTATCACAGTACTGGTGCTGTACATACATTAATTGGGTCAAGTTTTTTCAATTCATCAAAATATTTTTCAACAACTAGAAGTTTGTATTTCAAATTATACCTTTGAAAAAACTTATCTTGAGAGATGGGCATGGTTTATAGTTTTCATTACTGAGCAATAAATAGGTTAATTTCATTATATTTTCTGCATAGGAGAAAATAAACAAAGAATTTTTATAAATTATGGAAGGAGAGGTCTGTGAAATATTGAGGTTGAGGGAAATTATATCATGATGGAGAGAAAACTAAACGCATAATAATATCTGAGAAATTAATAATGGTTTGTTATTATAAAATTTATTAAGGGTCGAACTTTGAGAGGGAAAACCATAGTGTAAATGAACTGAGAGCTAGAATATAGAGGAAATTTTTCATTAAGTTGCCTATGTTGTTATTTAAAATATGAAATGGGCATTAAGTAATACCTATGGCATGAAATATAATGGATGCAGTTTGCTGAGATTTCAAACATCAGTTAATATATTATCAAATATTTTATTTTTGTCAGAATCAGGTGTTTCTCGTAAGTACGTAAGATACATAAAGCAAATGTTTGGTCAACTCATTTGATTTATATGTACGTAATATAATTATAGCACTTGAAGAATGTGAGTGTTACTTATTGTCATATGTCTTTCACCTATAAACAGATACAGTCTGGAGAGTTCAAAATTGAGGATGGCTGGGATGGCATTAAGACAGGATTCTCCAGACCAAATCCCTCGTACAGTTTAATGGAAGCTGAGGCAGAGAAGTCGGGATTTTGTTGCTAGGAGTTTCTAAAATACTGTGTGTTGAGTCTTTTTTTTTTTTCTTTTAAGGAAACATTTTATTTATTGAAGGTGACTATTTTCTGATGTAACAGATTTTTTGTTTAGCTAAAGTGCTGATTTGATAAAATCATGTTGCAAGGACATTCTTAACACTCAGTGAAGATTTGCAAATAAACCAAAGGAAGTATCCTAGTCCCATCCACCTTCTGCCTCAAATGTGCATTGTTTAACAGTGCTCTATTAAGGGCTCTGACACTGGCTGTATTAGATACTGTTTATTTTAACAAGGGCTCTAACACTGGCTGTATTAGTTAGTGTTTATTTTTATCAACAAGAACTACAGTACTGTATCATGTTTTATCAACAGAACTAAATATAATTTTTATGCTTATTTATAGAGTACAGATAACATTTTTACCAGAATGTGAAACTTGTCCAGAATAATTTGGAATAGGAGTGCTTTATATGATATTGTGCTGTAATGTCATTATCTTGAGACCTCACTGGGACTGGCTACTACTTTTATTCCTGATTTAAGTATTTATTTTGAGAGCTCAGTTTATGACTGTGATAAGGCCAGTATAAGTTGTATGTTATTTTGTATGCATTTGCATGTGTGGGTGCTTGTGGGCATGAACATACACATACATACACATGCACATACAAACATGTATATATTTTCCAACCTTGCCCTCCATACATCACTCTCTCCCTTACCTACACTACCTCACCCCTTCCCACACTTTCTTATCCCCTCTCCACACCCCTTATCATCTTGCATGACTCTCTCTTCCTTCTCTCTATTCCCTCATCATTCTTTTCACCCTCCCTTTATAACATCTTTCTTGTACAAACATTCATGTGTATACACACAGGCAATTTTATAGTATTTTATATATGCATAGATTATGAATGTAAATATACTGTACAGACTATATGGAAGAAAGATCTGTTGTGTGTATATTCCTATCGGCAATGATATACTATTTTATTTATTTATTCTATGTCAAAGAGTTGTTAATATGATGATGCTTATCATTGATACTCACACTTACACAGTGCATGTGTACATATTATATATATATATATATATATATATATATATATATATATATATATATATATATATATATATATATATATATATATATATATATATATATATATATAATATATATATATATATAATATAATGTACACACTTACACATGTATGTTATTTTGGTTGTTGTGTGTGTGAAAAAGTCATGAAAGTAGCACGAGCCTATTTGCCCCACCCTCCCCTCCAAATGAAAGGGGGAGGACCCCCCCATACGAGGGGGGGAGGGCCCCCCAAACGAGGGGGGGAGGCTGCCCCCAAATGAGGTTTGTGGGGCAGGCTGCGGTCTATAAGTCTCTCCAATGTCACTTCAATGAAGGATGCAAAGAGACCCGACTCCCTCAGGGAGGAAGGGTGTCAGGCACACCCAGAAATTGCCGTTATATTGCATTCAATGCTGGTTTTTTAGGGAAAGCTCCTTGTGGCTCCTTGAAGCTAGCTACCGGTGGAGAAGGAAACAAATAGGCACTTACCAGGAAGGAGAAGCACTGCAGGAATCAGAGCCAAGAAGAAACACTTGGTGGTGAGAGCGAACCCAAGGCGTTCAGGCCTGGACATGAGGACATGAAGCTCACCAACATGGCAACCAGAAGCCTGGGAAATCAGGAAAAGAGCCTTGAGAAAATGATCCCGAATGGATGGGGACATTGTGAAATGAACTGAGCAAGAGAGAGGAAACGGAGCACCCAGTCCAGAGATCAAGCAGGCTCAGGCAATGCATGAGCAGGCTCGGGCAGCACAAAAGCAGGCTCAGGTGGTGTATGAGCATACTCAGGCGGTGCATGAGCAGGCTCAGGCACCTAGTAGTTTGATATTGTATCAGCATAGTAGCTTCAGAAAACCACTGGAGCTCACCCAGAAATTGGCATTTCATTACATTAAACTCTGGTTGTTATTGCAGTTTTGACAGCAACTTTGTTGTGTTCTTAAAAATTAAGGTTTTCGACATGATTACTCCTAAATCTTTTACATTTTTTTTCCAAGAGTGTGGTTTGACTGTGTTTTATATGTGGTTTCTGATATGATGTTTTCGTTTTATCCATAGTGCAGTAATTGGAACTTATCACTTGTCCTCATTAAACATGTTATTGTCTGTGGCCCTTTGAAAGACCTGATTATCATTGGAGTGGAGGTTTACTGTGTCCTCTATTGTGTCTACTTTTGTTAAAAATTTAGCGTCATCTGCAAAAGATGATACAGTACTATAGTTACTGTTTTTATATATATATATATATATATATATATATATATATATATATATATATATATATATATATATATATATATATATATATATATGTCGTACCTAGTAGCCAGAACTCACTTCTCAGCCTACTATGCGAGGCCTGATTTGCCTAATAAGCCAAGTTTTACTGAATTAATATATTTTCTCTAATTTTTTTCTTATGAAATGATAAAGCTACCCATTTCATTATGTATGAGGTCAATTTTTTTTTATTGGAGTTAAAATTAACGTAGATATATGACCGAACCTAACCAACCCTACCTAACCTAACCTAACCTATCTCTATAGGTTAGGTTAGGTTAGGTAGCCGAAAACGTTAGGTTAGGTTAGGTTAGGTAGGTTAGGTTGTCGAAAAAACATTAATTCATGAAAACTAGGCTTATTAGGCAAATCAGGCCTTGCATAGTAGGCTGAGAAGTGAGTTCTGGCTACTAGGTACGACATATATATATATATATATATATATATATATATATATAATATATATATATATATATATATATATGTCGTACCTAGTAGCCAGAACGCACTTCTCAGCCTGCTATGCAAGGCCCGATTTGCCTAATAAGCCAAGTTTTCCTGAATTAATATATTTTCTTAATTTTTTTCTTATTAAATGATAAAGCTACCCATTTAATTATGAATGAGGTCAATTTTTTTTATTGGAGTTAAAATTAACGTAGATATATGACCGAACCTAACCTACTCTACCTAACCTAACCTAACCTAACCTAACCTATCTTTATAGGTTAGGTTAGATAGCCGAAAAAGGTAGGTTAGGTTAGGTTAGGTAGGTTAGGTAGTCGAAAAACAATTAATTCATGAAAACTTGGCTTATTTGGCAAATCGGGCCTTGCATAGTAGGCTGAGAAGTGCGTTCTGGCTATTAGGTACGACATATATATATATATAATTTATTTATTTATTTATTACACACACACACACACACACTCTGTATAATACTATAGTCTATACTATAGTTCTTGTCTATGTCTGATATGAAGTTGAGGAAAAGGTACCTTGGTGCAGGAGCTTTTTCATGGTGGATGGTTCAGAGTTTATGTTGTTGACCATCACACTTTGGGTTCTGTTTGCTAGGAAGTTAAAGATCCATCTCCTTACTTTGGCAGTAATTCTTTGTGTGCAATAACACCATGGTCACTTCGTTGAAAATTTGGCGCAGAGTGCATGTCATGCTGTCTATTGCTACTCCAAAGTCAAGTGGGGTTTGGGTAACGTCCGACATATGTTTTAATGGTGATGTCACATTCGTAAAGAACTTCTTTCAATTTAAGGGTTCCTGAAAACAGAATTGTACTGTAACCTCAGTATGTCGCTCATTTCTCTGCTGTCATCTGTGAATATTCCATAACCCTTGCACAAGTACCCAATGCAGGATGTAGGTATTGTTCTGGATTTTACATAAGAAAAAAGTGTTTTGGATTCCTCTTGGTTTTGCTTGTGGCCTTTTGCTCTCTACCTCTCTTGGATTTTATGATTCTTGATACTTTAGCTCAATCGTTTCTATTTCTATTAAAAAAAACCTTGAAATACCTGAGGTAAGGCACCCCACCCTGGTAGTCCAGCCTCAAAAGAGCGAACTTTAGAACACACCAGAGAAGTACAGTAACTCTGGATGCTTTTTCCCTGTGGAGTGGTGGGCTGTCATCTGCTCCTCAGTGAAGTTGGTGGCCAGGTTCTGGCTCTGGTCCTAATAGACCAGATAGATAATATAGGTCTATCAAAGGCCAAATAGAACTCCACTACTTGTGTGACCTAGTAGCTGGGAGCAATCTCTGAAATAGCTTCAGGGACCACAGGGGGCTATTTCCCCCCACCCTCCCCTCCAAAAAAAGAAAAAAAAGAAAACCATACCATGCAACTGTGAAACTTCTCTAAAGATAATGCATAAAGCGCTGGCTGTATGTTACATGTGTTAAGACTCTACACTGTCTGCACCTGATACTATTCCTCAAGGCTTACCACTTGTGCGATACTCGTACATCCTTAATTTATAAGCAAAAACACTGATGATATTTTGATGAAGATGTTGCATTTTTTAAATAATGTTGTTCCATTGATTTTTATTTATGTAAATTAACACTCAAATGTTTTGTATATATTTGATTTTTTTATCCTACATTTTCAGATTTCTATGTTGACAGGTGTATAAGTATTGGATAGTCTGAGATATGAATGAAATGCCTCACTGGGGTAGCTGGAGGTGGTATTCTGTATTCCCAAGATTGCAAAAAAAAAAAAAAAAAAGTTTTTGAAGTTCCTTTGTCCTAAGCATTTTGAATGTGTGTGTGTGTGTGTTTATATGTATTTACAGTATATGTATAAATGTATTTACAGTACATATATGTATATGTCGTACTTAACAACCAGAACCGCACTACTTGGCCTAGTATGCAGGGCCCGATTTACCTAACAGGCACAATGATTTTCATTATTTTCAAATATTTCTTTCCAAATTGGTTTAATCCAATTAATATTATTATATTACAGTATATTAAGAACATGAATTACTGATTTAGTTAGGTTATGATAGGTTATGTAAGGTTCGATTAAACATCTGCTAGTTTTAACTTAAAAAATTAGATCCTATGTAATGTTATGGAAAGCTATATCATTAAATAAACAAAAAACTGTGAAAAATATAATATTTCAGGAAAATTTGACTTGCTAGGCAACTTTGCCTATTTGGTACAACATGTACATGTGCATTGATTCATATATGCATAGTTATATAGGCCTACTTATGTATACATACATATAAGCACATGTATACAAGTATATAAGTATACATATGTACATAAACTTGTTGTATAGTGTTAGGTTTATGTACTGAAGTTCCTGCACAACTTTTCTATAGAAAAGACTACAGATGATAAATCTCTATTATAATGTCGATCTTATTTTTTATCATGGTAAATAAGTAACTGAGAATTTTGTTTGTTTTTTGTTTCTCATTTATTGTGTGTGTATATTTAAATAAACTATGTAAAAATAAACTATGTACACAAAGTGTAACTAAGTAAATGAAGCATGTGGTAAGAGGTTACAGTATATAAAGTGTACTCACTTCGTCCCATTTCTGCCTTCGAAACAGTATGCACAGTGTCAGATTTAATTAATTCACTTTAGTTATTAGGTGATGTCTATCTTAGATAAAGTATGCTTCAGTAAGTTACGTGGGAATGGTAGAGATATTTTGGGGAGGTGGTGAGCAGAGAATGTGTGATACTATCTACAAATGAATTATTTATAATCAATGAACTCTTATTTCTCATGTTCATAACTCAGAAAATACCTGATTTCAGAGCAGCACTTACAATTATGCAATAAAACATAAATAACATATCCCCTTTAAGTATTCAGATATCATTGTGTGTGTGTGTGTGTGTGTGTGTGTGTGTGTGTGTGTGTGTGTGTGTGTGTGTGTGTGTGTGTGTGTGTGTGTGTGTGTACGAGTAGGTTTACAAGTTGTGGAA